TGAAGATCCTGTACTTCCGGTTCCTTTGAGGTATAAACGATTGGAAGGGAGATACAAACGGGTACAAACGGTACATCTCTTTCGGATGGCGTTGGTCGTTTTCGAATATTTTATACTTGCTTGCTAGCTATTTTTCCCCTTCCACCTATCTTCTTATTCTTAGAGGTACAAACGAAGCAAAAAGTGGTACAAGCAGGTACAAATGAAGATACAATCGAACGGTATTGCGGATGCTTTTTTTTTTTTTATCAAGTTGCTCGCCAGGTTCGCATCGGTGAAGACGATGACCACGTTCTTCCCGTATATTCCCGAAAAATTTTCCATCGGAGAACTTTTCTAAAATTTATTTCGCGTGTGTAGACACCTGATTGAACATTTTCTGAACATACTCGTGCCATGCGGATTAATGAACTCTTGCGGATTAAAATGTTGATGTTTGCGGCGTAGTTATTGTGGCGTAGACCGATAAAAAGTACATTTGCATATCATTAGACACCGTTCGGAAGAGACACTGTCATTGTTGTCGCTTCCCTATTCAGGCAGGTCCCTAGTTGCGAGAGGGATAGAAGAGCGGCACGGCAGACTGCAGCAAACAGCGGAGAGCGGCAGCCCGTCACGCGCACAATGCGTCTGCTCGTTCTCTGAACGCCCCGTTGCTTTTTTTCTCTCTACCCGCGCGCATAATGCGCGCAGTTTGGTGCAAGCAGCACGTCCGGGAGATTTCTGCCACGTTGTTCTTGAAATAGGGAGCTCCGCGAGCGCGAGCGCACGCGAACGAGCACGCGGAGGCTTAGAGAGGGACTCGTACGGATTCGTCATCGGGTGCAGAGAACAGCGAGAGCGACGGCGCGAAGGCTTTGCCTTTTACGTGGCGCGGACATTAGTTTTGTTAGGGATTTTCTGCTGAGCAGAGCAGAGCAGAGCGGAGCAGAGCAGAGCGGAGCAGAGCGAGGGGGGGGGGAGACTTGGGGGGCTTGGCGTGGGACGACGTGGCACTCTCGCGCACTATTTGCGTACGCGCGCCTTCGCCTTCGTGGGCTACGAGAGACGCGCTAATCCGCGCGGTGAATAATTTTTCGGACACGCGAGTCGCGCGTAATACAGAAGAAGAGTTCAGTTGACGCCCCTGCGCGGCTGTGCAGTCAACGACATCCTCCAACATCCCTGCACCGCGCCGTGCGCTAGTCGCGCGCAGATTCTAATCCCGAACTGACGCGCGTTTCCCGAATCGATGGCGTCGATTATGCGTTCGAGAAAGCGAGCCGATCGGGAAAAACGCCGGAACGCTCGGCGTGACGGCGTGAAATATCGCTGCGGGCGATTAGCTGATAATCTGATTAGCGCGTTCCGTAAACGCCGCGCTGCGTTCGTTAACGATCCTTTTGGCGCGATAACGTCTGTATACGAGCGTCAACAGGCCTGTTATTAAATGTTGTTTAAGTGAACGATACCAGAGGGATCATTATTCCCGGACGTGAGCGCGGCCGCGCGGTGGCGTATAATCCGCGCGAGGCGAGCATTAATCAAGAATAATGGATCGCGCGAGTCGTCCTCTCGCACCAGATAATACTGACTAATAACAGCGACTTTTGGCAGGATATGGCGCATAATTCTCTCGCCGCGTATCTAAGATCAAGATCAAGATCTAGCCGGGATACTAATGCGGCTATTTATCACGCGGCGTTTAACCCTTGACCTCTCGCAAAAGAAGCTCGGAAGTACAGAGCGAGCGAGCGAGAGAATGAGAGAGGGAAAGGGAGAGAGAGAGAGAGAGAGAGAGAGAGAGAGAGAGAGAGAGAGAGAGAGAGAGAGCGAGAGAGAGAGAGAGAGAGAGCGTGCGCGCGCATGAATGAGAACTTATCGGCGAAATCTCCGTAAAGAAATGAGAAGAATTTTGCGGTCGCTCGTGTTTTATTTTTCCTCGCAAGTTTTATCATTTCTTTCCCCGCTGTGACTCATTCTCACGTCGAACCAGTCCGGATTGATGAAAAGGCTCGCAGTGGAATCGAGCTTTCCATTATCCTCCGGCTATTCTTCAAACCGATTCGCGCCGGGGGACAAAGTATGTCGGTCAATTGCTTCCCCTGGTGCAGTTTTCGCGGCGCGTTGATCAATTCATTATTACCGACGCATCGCGAACTGTCTTTTATCTCCGGCCGGACCGCACTCTCTCTCCCTCTCTCTCTCTCTTGCGCGCGCGCGCGTGCGCGCGCGGATAGAGCCCTTCTCGCGTTTCTTACGTGCCGTAGTACGCGCGTGTAACCTGTTCAGGTGTGGAACCGGCGCGACGACGAACCTGTTCGCCGCCGCGGCATCTCCGCGCGGCATCTTCGGCGCGCCTCAACCTGTTCGCCGCGCGCACGACTGGTTTCGCGTTGCGCTCTGTCAAAACCTGTCGATGGATGCGTCGCCTAGCAGAAAATGACGGGATCAGCACCGCGCAGAGCTTCGATTACACGTTCATCTTGCCTTCTCTCTTTCTCGAGCCTCTTGGCTACTCTACGTTCTCTCTCTGTCCCTCTCTCTCCCTCCCTTCCTCTCTCTCTCTCTCTCTCTCTCTCTCTCTCTCTCTCTCTCTCGCTCGCTCTCTCTTGGCCGCGAAGACGCGTCGCAAACCGCGTCGCGCTCGTACACGAAAAAGTTGCGATTTTTCGGTGTATTGCAATTACAAGCGACGGCCATCGGAATGTAATTACACACGCGCGCGGGTTGTTCGCTGTAATTGACATCTCTGATCGATCGGAGCCCGCGTGGTGGAGCGCCGACACGACTGCGGACACTCATGTGTGCGGCGTTTCTTGCAAAACTGGCTAACTGTCGCGCAGAGTTTACGACATGTGAGATCGTGATTTATTAAACGGGAAGTTTCTTATAACAAATTTCTACAATGTGCGCGTGTGTCGTGTGTATCGACGAATAAATATCGGCGGCTGCGGAATATCGCGTGCCCAGCGCGGTCGCGGAGGTTTACGAAGCTGTCGGATGGAAAAGTCACAGGCGTGAAAACGCCGCTAACAGAGGGAACCGGCTTTTCCCCCGTCATTTTTCCACATGAGACGAATTTATGGGACGCTAATGCACACCCGCGACCCCGCAGACGGTCGTTTGTCGTGTAAACACACGAGAGACTACCGCGTATCGGGACTCGCGATGATTTATCGACGCGACGCTAGGATTCGCCAATAAAAGACGCCGGTAGCCTCATAAAACGAGGATAAAAGTGAATTAACGGCTAGAGCAAAGCTTTACGACGCCCGGCTGTATTTCGGAAGGTGACGGGTGATGGTTCTCGGAGGTGTCTGTAAAGTTAGCGTGACGAATTTTAAAATTAATGAAAAACAATGTTGGTTCCAGTAGCATTTTTCAGAGTTCTGCAGTTCCTGATAAAAATAACGAAAAGTTCCGTATTCCTAATAGCAAAAAATCGAAATTGAAAAAATGTGCTAACTTCGCGTTCCAGCACGACACAGTCTCTTCTAAAGTACAAGAAGCCGGTGAATAATACGCTTTCTGACGAGAGTTCCCGTTAGTTCTACAATTATGAAGCATTTCAGAACAAAATTCCAACAATTAACAATTCTGTACAAATCTAAATATTGACCGCAAGCACGACACTCGGCGAAAACATGTCATGCCGTCGACTTCTTGTTCTTCTAATGATAGTTCTAGCTTGTTCTACTTGAGTTCCATACAATTTAACTATTTTCAGTCATTGTTCCGCCGTATAACTATTTTTAAATTAATTTTGACCTCTGGCGCCAGCACGGCACTCGATGAAAATCTGTCGTGCCGTCGACTTCTTGTTCTTCTAATGATGGTTCTAGCTTGTTCTACTCGAGTCCCATACAATTCTATATTTTCAGTCATTGTTCCGCCGCATAACTATTTTTAAATTAATTTTAGCGTTTGGGACCAGCACGACACTCGGTAAAAATGTGCTATCGATTCCCGCGCATTTCTGATGCGTCGTATCTCTCGAATTTAATTTAGCTGACCGTAACCAAAGATTAGGAATTTATATTGTTAATTTTTTATGCGTCGTGCGGAGAGCGACGGAGGATTTATGTGAAATATTGTAATTTATGTGTTTTGTTCATAAATATTTTAATATCTATTTAGCAATCAACTTTAATAAAAATGTTCAATATGTATAAAACTATGTTTCCGCACTCACGTAACATATCAGGTGGAGAGTAATTGTAGTTTTCGCAATCATAATTTTTCTCTTTTTCTTAGCGTCGTCATATTTATACGGCGGAACAATGACTGAAAATGGTTGAATTGTATGGAACTCGAGTAGAACAACCAACGAGTAGAACTACCGTGAGAAGTACAACAAGTCGATAGCACGACATGTTTTCGCCGGGTGTCGTGCTGGCGGCCAATATTACGAATTGTGCAGAATTGTTAATTGTTGGAATTTTGTTCTGAAATGCTTCTGAAATAGTTGTAGAACTAGCTTAGAATTAACGGGGGAACTCTCGTTAAAGAGCGTATTATTCACCGTGTTTATTCTTCTTGTACTTTAGAGGAGACTGTGTCGTGCTGAAATGTGAAGTTAGCATATTTTTCCAATTTCGCCTTTTTGTTATTAAAAACAGGGAACTCTTTTTATTTTTATCAGGAACTGTAAAACTATGAAAAATGCTACTGGAACTAACATTGTTTTTTAATAATTTTTAAAACGTGTGCTAACTTCGCAGACACTTCTCGGAGGCATTAAGGAGTTAACAGAGTCGTGAGGAAAGCCACGTTGTCACTGTGGTTTTATGCCGGCGGTTAATTACAGCGACTGACGTCGCTAAAGATCGGTCGAAAGATCATTTACAGATTGTACAGTTATTGCGCATCGATGGTAACAATTTGTATATTGATTAATTTAGGCGCTCGAAATCCGATAATGCGTTCCCAAGCCAGCGGAAGGTACATTACGACGCGGCACATTCTCCTTCATCGTTATCTCGATCTGACGCAGGAACCCCTCCTTTTGTCATCCCCAGGTTCGACCTTAAAGAACAGTAGCCTGTTCCCGTCTATATTCAACGTTGCCGCGAAAGCGGAGATTTACGTGAACGCGACGTGCGGCGAGGAGGGTCCGGAGACGTTCTGCAAACCCTCGGAACCGTCGAGATGCTCCGTCTGCGACTCCAGGAGCCCGGATCCTGGCAAGAGGCATCACATCAGCAACGTGCTGCACCTGAATTCCGGCAGGTGGTGGCAGAGCCCGTCATTGGCCAGAGGTCACTACGAACACGTGACGATTCTCCTGGATCTCAATCAGGTACGCAAGTGAACGAAGTTTCTTCTGCGCGCATTTCCGCGGTTTGCGGAAAAAGTCAAACTAGTCTTTGGGATATTCTCAGATAAGAAAGTAAAATCGCTAAAATTGCGCGCCTACAAATAGCGAGACGAAACTTGGAACTTCGTTTCACAGCCGTCCGTTCTGCTCGTATTTTATTCTGCGTCTCCCGGACATGATTCGCGTTCTTTTTTCTTTTCCTTGAAGCTTGGAAACTCGAATATCGCGTCTGTATCCTGCCGTTTCGTTTCGTGTGATGTTTCGGGCCTGGTGCCCGAAAGACAATCAAATCTCTCGGTCTCTCGTTGGTGTCGTTTCTCACGTTTGACGTTCATTTCGACTCTGATTTATGTGGAAACTTGAGCGTGTCGACATATGCGAGGACAGATAGACGATAGAAAATCCGCAAGAAAGCAGAATAAATCGACGGAACTGAAACAGAGGAAGAGACGTAGGAATAAACTTCGAGCGAATAGAAGAAGAGCCGGCTCCTCCTTTCGGAGGACCCTTCTTAGAAACATAAGTGGCGGTTCGCAGGTATGCATGCGGTCCTCCGTCCCTTAACAAATTGCGAGCAGGCGGTGGCGAAAAACGAGCTTTAACGAGCACCGCAGCCCTTTTCTGAGAGTTGTTCGTAATGAGGACGTGGTTTGAGGAACGAGGCACGGAACGAATCCGTGAAACGAAGCGCCAACGCGACAGGCAAGATCAAGTTAAATCTTGACGAGACAGAGAGAGGGTCTCGCTCGCTTCGAGTGCTGGAACGCTCTCGAAATGTTAATTGAGCGTCACGCGAAACAGTCGTCTCGTTACGTTTTACGCACGTGGATTCGGAGCTACCGCGAGAAAATGAAACTGCGCGTTTGAGGGAAAACGTGGGAAATCTCTGGAACTTTCTTTCGTATCAATCTTCAACACGTTACTTAACTGTTACTTAACAGTCACGCGATAATGTTGTCACGTGTATTCGCCTCTTTAGTCGCGGAATCGCAGCCGGCGCGGCTGATAATTATGCCGTCGAGCGGCACATCCACGCGCTCGCGCGTCGCTCGCTAATTGATCCTCCCACAGGATGCGATAACCGCGGGCTAATCCTTTCGCGTAATTGATACGTTAATACCCCCGTAAAACCGGCACCGCGATAATAATGAACACGTCTCGAGATAGGCGAAATCTCGACGGTGCAATTAGGAGACGCGAAGAGAGTCGGGCCTGCAGCCTTGGCCCTTAATTGGACGCTGATTGCGAGCCTAATCCTTCCCCCGCCCTCGGGATCGGAATATCTTCCGCGTGCAATCGCGCCGTGGGTGCGCCGCTTACAAAAGACGATTCTCCCTCGTAATGGTCCATAATTAAAAGTCTCGCTCGGGTATCGGATTAATAATCGCGCACGTATGCGCTTGCGTCAGCTCTTTATCGTCTGAAAAACAAACATTCGTGGCGGAGTAGGGACGACGATTGCTTTTTGACGATCGTTTTGACGACGACGAGCTTGTAATTGTAATTCCGAGTCTCGTGAACTGTGTAATTAGAACGTCGGCATCCTCGCCGCGGGAATTTAATCTTCGTTGTCGACAAGCCGCGTCATTAAACACACACACACACACACGGTGTTGGCCGCGACGACGCTGTTTAATCGGTCGCGATTAATTTCCCCGATTAATTAAATTAATAAGTTGGGTTAATCCGAGGCGTGGCCGGCGGGAGGGGAATAGGCAGCCTCAAAGCGAAAGATCGTCGAGATCGATCTCTCGGTTTTATCGCGTCGTGATCGGCCTGGCGACTCTGCGATAACAATGGAGTCAATTACGGCGCGTTGTGTAGATCGATACGATCGAACGGAGATAATTAAGATATGCCGAAGGGAAGGCACTATTCAATGCTCTTGCGCAACGTTAGATCCAGGATCTACTTCTTCGCTCTCGCTCTCTCTCTCTCTCTCTCTCTCTCTCTCTCTCTCGCTCTCTCTCTCTCCTCCTACGTTCCCCTTTATTCTTTTTCTTTCTTATTCACTGTGATATACTGAATACCTGGCCATGCTGTTTGTAACGGGAAGATTACTGGCGATTCATTGCGACATTTTTAAATTACGGTCCGTGAGTATCGGGAATGATTATGCTAATCGGCGAATAAGCAGGAGACGCGGGAGAGCATATTTATGGTGCTCGTTTACGTTCATTGCGCTTATTAATTTTCACGGCTGGCCGACGTTGCTCGTGATTGTTTCTTTAATCCGGCGAACCGGTGTTAAGTCGGTGCAGCGTCGATGTTGTCGATGCTGTTGTTGTTGTTGTTGCTGTTGCCGTTCGCGACCACCAGAGTCGGGAGAAACGACGGCACTCTTGGTGCATGTTGGCGCAATTAGCTGGTTATGTTAGCGCTTGATATCTTTTTGCGCGAGAAGACAAGCGTGATGAGACGAGGTGACGGTGATACTCCACGGTGCCCGCGCACGCGACAATCGCGACGATAAGACGCGAGGGGACATTTTGGGCGCGCGGCTAAAACGAGCCATAAGGTCGCTTCTCGGTACGCGGTAAAACCGGCCGAGGAGATTCTCACGCGGTGATTGACGCGGTCGGCTCGTCTCAGGCATAACTTCTGTTTGCGCTACTGATTGGCACGAACGTGCACTGAGAAACCGCGCGGGCGCGCGCGCGCGCGCGGCACCGCCTTCCAGGTGTAGGCGCGTCCGGTGAAATAAATTAATTTGTCCGTGCCTAAAAAGGGCCGCTTGATGGACAAACTTGATCTCATGGTGCAGGAGCGAAGAGGGTAGCCCCGGGACTGCGTTGCGCAATAATTAGCGGACGGCTACAAATGATCGTCAAACATCGGGCCGCGATGTAACTCTCGCGAGAGGCTTTCTTTCTCGCCGCCGAGAAGGCCTCGCGTCGCTCCGACGCGGACGGCGGAAGAGGAGGAGCAGTCGCGCGGCACGGGGTGAGCAAGCGGTCGTAGGAAATTCATTTGTACCCTTAATGGAGTCTTGAAAGTGTACTTAATATTATGCGCGCGGCAACATATCTCTCTCGCGCGCGTGCGAAAGGAAGCGCGCGGAGGAATCGATCGTTTGCGCTTATTACGACGTACCGCCGGCTTTACGGTCCGTGCTCGATTCGTCGCGAGTAGAATCTCCGGGAAGATCGAATATACTAGACCCGGTGGGGGGATAGGCTCGGTGGATTATCCGCCGGTGTCCGCCGTCATAGAAAATTCATCGACGCGCCCGATGATGACCCCGCAGCTATCATCATCATTCGCGACATCGTGCGTTATCGTCGAAGAAGGATCGCAGCGCGCGCGCGAGTTATCGGCTTTGGTAGATCGACGTCACCTTTAACCCCGGCAAGCGGCGAGCAGCCGAAAGTGAAAAGGAGCAGCGAATGGCACTCGTGCCGAGGGGGTCGCCGGTCGAATCCTTCATTGTTCACGGATTAACGAGTCGAGTCGCCGTCCCTCGAGCGCGCTCGTGCGAGGTCCTCGAACCTGAGCACGCCGTGTTCTTCGTCGGCCGGGTGAATGAATCATCTTCTTCAGTCGGGAGGACGAGCGGACGGGAGTGAACGGTGAGAGGCGGGCAGAAGGGAGGAGGGACAGCAGACGAAGTCACGAAAATAATACCTCGTGGGGTGGAAGATCGCTCCTCGTCTCGGCGGCGACTTGTTTCTTTTTCCTATTCACGGAGACCCCCTCCCCCCTTCACTGGGCGTTGCGGGATGATGTATACATACGCGTCCGCGCCGTGAAGCAATTGCAGCTTTTTATCGGGATTTTATGACCGCATAACACTGTGCGTTATTGGGTCGTTACGCGTGTCTGAAATTCGAGGCGCTTTCGAATCGAGCTGGTCGCCTCATGCGCGCGTCGCGCACGGTGCTTTGCGACGGTAACAGTTTGCTCCGGTAAACAATGCAGATTCTCTCATCCAAATTCGCTCATCCAAGATTTATCGCGAGGTGACTAACGAGTCTCGAAAATAATACCTCGGCTCGTTCGTGCGAGTCTTGACAGAGTTTTCCCTCTCTCTCTCTCTCTCTCTCTCTCTCTCTCTCTCTCTCTCTCTCTCTCTCTCTCTCTCTCTCTCTCTCTCTCTCTCTCTCCCCCCCCTCTCTCTCCCCCTCTCTCTCTTCGTGTCCGAAATAAAATCGGTAGGGCAAGGAGGAAAGAACACACATACACACACACACACGCACGCACGCACACACGCACGCACGCACGCACGCACACGTGCCCGCGTAAAATTAGTAGTCGGCCGTAATAAAAATACCCGAATCACCTTCGTGAATCACGATAGTCTCGATCGGGAGCGTCGGATCTGCGCTCTCGTCGAGGTGGCGGTCGTCGCCGGGCGGTTCCGCGGCTTTTTTTATCGGAGCGGCCACCGTGGCACGTCACGAATTTACCTCGTAATTCAATTCCCACGGCCAGTGGCGATAATTACAGACCGCGGCGTGCGCGCAGCCCTTGGCCACAGCCGAGCCGCGGCCATCTTTTTGCCTTCTGGTTACGGCAGAGCGTCGTTGATCGTCGTTCGCGGTAGACAGGCTGAGACGATTAAACGAGATTGCCTGGCCGACACGAGAGCGATAATCATATCCTCAATCCGCGGTCGTCGATCACAAGGAAGCGGCATCGAAGCCCTGAGCCGATAACAGATCGCAATCTACGGGATTATTAATCATATTACGCGATTTAGATAAAATCACGAATCGTTGGGGGAAAGTCTTCTCCGGCGTCTCTCGCGCGGCCTCATCATCGGGATAATAAATTATCATTACCCGGATAATTGCGCGATGCGAGAGGCGATCCTGATACGACGTGTTGTCTTTTGAGAGCCACTCTCTTTCATTAGACCCGGTGTCGCTCCTTGCGATTCTCGGCAGGATAACGTGCGTTACATTGAGAGAGCGCACTCGATCGATCGATTAAGTGCCACGCCGTCTACGAGATCGTTCCCCTCGTCTTTTTTCTCGCTGCCA